TTATAATATAATAATAATTAATATAATTATAATATACATATAATATACTACACATTTTAAAAACTTTATATGTCGTGTTATATGTCGAGGCTTAAATTTAATCCCACCCGCAATCCTTATCCTTAGTAGAATTCCTATCCAAAATACCAGCAATTCGGAAAAACCTGACCCTAATGCAACTGTCGTGCAATGAATTACCTGTATCCAGTGGCGTATTTAGGGGGTGGTCCGCCGGGTCTGGACCCCCCCCCGGGCGCACATATTTTATTATTTTTATTACAAAAAAAGTTCCTTTTATTTACTATTTTATCGGATCAGAAGAGTTCCTAATTTGTGATTTTTTAGTTATTAAAGCATAGCATAGTATAGTATTTAGGATTTAGCTCCGGGGGGGGTCCAAAAAAACTAACTAAATATGTATACATATTTAGTTAGTTTTTTTGGCCCCCCCCCGGAGCTAAATCCTAAATACGCCACTGCCTGTATCTTAAACATAAAATCCATTCCTATACCTACCTAATCAATCAGTCGTCAAAAATAAACCAAATCAGTCGTCCAAAACAAACCGAGTCAGTTGCACCGAACAAACCCTTCAGTTTACACCACAATTCAATCCGAGACACTCCAACTTATTCGAACATTCTTTCGGGCCGCGACAGCCAGCTTCACCACTGTTGTAAGTTATTTTCATTGTAAATAAATCTTACTACTTACTACAATACACGTGTTTAAATTCACTATAATATATAACCCACGCATAACAATATTCAATTATTGAATATTATTCAAAAACAATTTATTACAAAAACATACAATAAAAAGGTCTTTAGCCTTTCAATAAAAAAATCATAATACATTTTAAGATTTGTGCCAATTCATAAAAGTATACACGGTGTGCCTGAACGAAGTTTGTCACATAAAAATGCCGCCCAAAACTGATTGCAGTTTCTTGTTCGGGACCCTTTGGTGACTTAAAAATGATATTTACCAAAATCCTAGCTGCTCCTCTTTTCGAAATTTTTTGAAAATTCATGATTTTTTTTAAATTTTTGTTTATTTCAAAGTCTACCTTTGACAGAGTACACATTTTTACACCGATTTTTATAAAATTATAGTATATTATTGAAGAATACTTTTTAATACTGTTCACATCATTTGATATATACAGGGTGAGCCAAAAATCGCTTATTTTTAATAAAGCAAAAGCGTAAATTCATGATTTTGGCATAACACGCAAAAAAAGATTTATTCCCATTTTTTCATATATTTCTACGTTTATCAGGTTACAAAATGGCATTCTTATTAACCTTTTATGAAAAAATAGATTTTTAATAAAATTAAATAAAATAACCCTTAGAGAATATTTAAAATGATGTTTAATTTAGGATTTTTAGTAGTTTTTAATTTTGAACGAAAAACTGTTTTTTGATCGGCACTCTTTGGAGATTTAAAAACGATATTTAGCAAAATTCTAACTGCTTTTTTTTAAATTTATTAAAAAATATTTTTTTTTAATTATTTGTCTATCGCAAAGTCTACCTTTGCCAGAGTACACATTTGTACACCAATTTTTATTGATTGCAGTTTCTTGTTCCTAGCTGCTTTTTTTTTCGAAATTTTTTGAAAATTATTAATTTTTTTTTAAATTTTTGTTTATCTTACCTTTGACAGAGTACACATTTGTACACCGATTTTTATAATATTGTTAACGAGACTTGGAGAATACTGTTTTTATACTGAGCACATCATTAGATTTATACAGGGTTAGCCAAAAATCACTTTTATATAGTAAAAAGCATAATGCACAAAATTATTTAAAATCAATTTTTCTTATAAAGTCTTAATAATAATCCCATTTTGTAGCATGTTAAACATAAAAATATCTAAAAAAACATGGGTGGGTATATATCTTTTTTGCGTTATATGCCAAAATCATGAATTTACGCTTTTGCTTTATTAAAGAAGCGATTTTTGGCTAACCCTGTATATATTAAATGATTTGCACAGTATAAAAAAGTATTCTCCAAATCTCCTTAACAATATACTCCAATATTATAAAAATCGGTGTACAAATGTGTACTCTGTCAAAGATAGACTTTAAGATAAACAAAATTAAAAAAAAAATCATGAATTTTCAAAAAATTTCGAAAAGAGGAGTAGCTTGGATTTTGGTAAATATCATTTTTAAGTCACCAAAGGGTCCCAAACAAGAAACTGCAATCAGTTTTTGGCGGCATTTTTATGTGACTTAAACTTCGTTCAGGCACACCATGTATATTACTTTGTTTGTCATAAGGTAATTTGGTATATATTTTGTTAATCAAATACTTTAACCGTGAATCATAAGTAATGAAGCCATATGTGCTAATTAAACTAAAAAATAGACACATTTAATCATGTTAAAAAATGAATAAATAAATAAAATCTGATATCTGTCAAATGGTTAATGATTGGTTTAAATCACAGTGAATATTGAAATCGGCCAATCACTGATTCCTAACCACGTGAAGAATGAGTTATTATTTCCTTTATTAGGCAGGGAATTTATAATGTTCATCATTATTTACGGAAAAAAACGTTTTTTCGCAATATCTTGGAAACAAGAGCTAAATGGACAAAATAATAGTCATTTTTGCGCACACAAATTACCCTACAAGTTTTTAGCAAATTGCTGTCGACCAGTGTTATTATAAACCAAATTAAAACATCACAACAAACTTTTGGAGAAAACAGATGATACCGAAAAGAAAACTTTTTCGGGGTAGTTCTCGAGTTATTAAGCATTTTATAAAACATGGCAACGCTCTCTGTCTAGTAAGCTTAAATATTACAAATCCAAAAACGGTTGTTCATTTTAACAGGGTTAAGTTTATTTTAATAAATTATTAAATTTATTAGACGAAAGTAACCAAATATGGAATAGTACCCAAATATGAAATACCAGCATTTCTCTAAAATAAGATGCAAAACAATCACTTTGGAATCAATGATCATAGTCAGTCCGGACAGTCCGGACTGTCGCCCATGGAAAATTTTGTCTTTAAAAAGATAAAATTAAAAATGTGAATATTTGTTTAGCATGTTCACGGTGCTGTTCTGAGAGGTGATTTTTGGACTTTCTGTGAAACCTAATTTTTTTTATATTCTTTTACTGTTTTGTTGTAATACACGTTTAAAGTTTTAATTTAAGGTTAAATGTATAGTATACATTTATTAAACAATAATTCTAAGGGTGCCACATTTTATTTAGGGCCGATTTATTCATTTTTGATTTATTTGACGAATAATTTCTTTGGATACTAGATATTGCCAAGACATGAAAGTTATCGGCCCGATAAACTTTACTAAAGATGAATAAACCGGTCCTTAGTTAAATTTCATGAATTTCTTCGTAACTTTTACTACAATTTTTAATTTTTATTTATAAAAAACACTTTAAAAAACTAAACAAAAATTATAGAATACGTATACTGAAAATGACAATTCAAACGTCAAATAAATTTTTAATAGATCTAAGTTTCATGGCAACCTTTAAGGGAACATAAATGTATACGTCAAAGGTTAGATTAAAAGTTTGAACGTTTATTGCAACAAAACAGTAAAATATATAAAAAAAATTGTAAAAACCTTTTTTTTGTTATGCAAATATTAAATATTTAAATTAAATCGCTAGTTTTAATTGGATAATTGAAAGAGTGCATAATATTTTTAATAAACAACCAATTAAAACAATTCAAACCGTCAAATTTTTTTATTTTGCTCTTAAAATTTTAGTTATGACCTTATTAACAAGAATATAAAAAAAAATTAGGTTTCACAGAAAGTCCAAAAATCACCTCTCAGAACAGCACCGTGTGTTGTATTTATGTTTTTTTAAGTTTTGTTTAAATTCATTAAAATGCGAAAACAAATTTAAACCCTATGAAATAGGTGAACAAATTTTTTTGGTGTATACTATGTTACATTTATTTATGCTACAATAGCTATAAAAATTGTTCAATAATTTTTTTTTAAATTTTAATACTTATGGGCTTAAACTTCAACTTGGACTTCTGATTTTTGCAAGTTCCTTTATCTCGTAGAGGATAAATAGTTGTTTCTTAATAAAAAATGGTTACTATTTCATATTTTTTTCATATTTTTGGTTATTTTTATTTTTGAAATGCCATTATGAAATTATAATAAGTAGTCTTAAAAGTTTAAAGTTAAACCATTAAAATCAAACTTGAAGGTCATAAAAGCATGTCGCTTAACAGTTTTCTTTTATTTTTCAATATAGGCAATTAATTATTTTTTTAAATTTCTACTTTTTGTATTTATTACTAGAGAGTTTAAATTACAAGCAAATATGTTAATTAAACAAATAAATAAATTATACAAAAAAGCCTTTTTTTGATTTTTAAGCATATCGTATGCCTTGGATTTTGAATTATTTTTTAAGCTTATTTTATGCCTTTTTTCAAAAAAATTACCCGCTTTTTAAGCGCTTATTTCAGTTTTTTAAGCCTTTTATTTCGGGCTCTATTTATTACGACTGTCTGGTGTACTATATAATTTTTAGTTTTTTTAGTATTAACTATTGTGTGAAAAAAGTTAAATTTGCTCCAGGCCCCCTATACCCTCTGGGCGGCCCTGTCCATCACACCCTGTAGATATATGTTTTTTTAAATCCTGGGAATAAAGATTTAATTTACTATGTTTGTTGCTATACATTTGTGTAAAATTGTTACTTTTTCTTTCGTATCAAATAGTAATGATTAAAAGCGTTTTTCTATAATTAAAAATATACTTATTTCTTTAAAACATAAACCTAAAATACCTACAAAATAGTTACTTTATTCTGATTTTATACTAACAAAAGGTTTTGGTTTTAAAAAATTTATTTTTTTAAATAAATATGTTGATTGGAAAGTCATTTTAAAAAGGAAATAAATTTAGGTAATGTATTTATAAAAAATTTTAGCCAGTATTTTTTTCAATAAATTTTATTTTTTCCTTACCCCGGATGATGCTTGCTATAAGGATTATACCTAATCCCAGTCTTGGAATCCACCACCACATATTTATCGATATCCCCCGAAGGCTGGTGCGAATTGTGCACTTCTTGCGTATGGTGCCTCCTACAATCGACCGCCACAACACAAAAAACGAAGATCGCACACGCGGCGGCCACGGCCGTCTTGATCTTAGTATGCATGCTGCGGATGCTTGGAAGGTGCCCGGCGTACTGAACGCACGTGGTACTTTCGATCTCGATGCCGGGAATGCGGAGGATCTCTTTTTCTTCTTCGGCTGCTGACCGCCAGACTGCTGTTTTTGCTGCACTCCTCGAGAGTCGAGAGTGCCGTGGCGTACACGGAAGGCGTTGTCTGTCTATCAATAACCCGCGGTCTATTTTCGGAGTCAAGTGTCTATTAGCACCTACTAACACCAAATATCTTGGATTCGTATCATTGTTTAAAAACAGACTTCAGTTTGTTTGGTATTTTTGCAAATTTAACAACAACCAAAATGTTACTTTATAATATAAAGTTTATATGATTTTTTTATTACCTACGAATAATAATAATAATAATAATAATAATTTATTTAATGCCAAAAATACAAGATCTTTACACAGGTCAAACAAAACAATATATAAATATAAAAGTACAAAGATACGTAGGTATACAAAATTTAAAATAGATATAAATTACAATTGGGTTAAACAAGAATACTAATAAAATATTTAAACACATTTAGTTAAAAAAATCACCACAGTTTTTTATAGTCCGGGAGGCAGTGAAGATTTTCGGTACTTATTTTCCCAGTCGGCAAACACCGATACAATTATTGGGTTTGTTATTCTGAGCAAAATTTATATATATTTAGGGGGGGGTTTTCCGATGGGTTAAGGCGGAAAATGCGTTATAAAGTACAAATATATTGCACTTTTTTTCCAGTGATAAAAATAATTCCATTAGTGAGAGATATAGTGAACTTAAGAAAAAAATAGTCTGGCTAATCTGTGAGTATGGGTAATATGTCTGGCAGGTGGAAAAATTATCAAAACCATTGCCCTTATTTTCGCAGTCCTAAAAATTTTGTGAGATGATAGTTTATATTATAATTACAGCTGCAAATATAGTCTGGCTAATGTGGAACACTCCGAAAGCCTTGCCAGACTCGTCCAACCCTCCACAGGCGCGCTAAATTCGGCATGTTCAATTATACAGGCGATTGTTGTCATCTCTACATGTTTTTACTTTTCATAATGTATGATAAGAAAATAATTTGTGTAAAGCAAAATTTAAATATGGCTAAAAAAAATGTCAGTCCGTCCGCCACCAAAAAACTTTATTCGCGAATAACTTTGTAACTATCAGAGATACGAGAAAATTTGTGCAGTTGTTTTTTGTAGGATTATCTACAAAATCGATCTCTTGACAGTCTTTTGTATCTCCCTTAGTTTTTGAGTTATATCAATAAAAAAAAAAGAAAATCGCGAAAATTCCCATTCAAACGCGAGTTTCTGCTATCTGACTTGTGAGTCTGGCGGGGCTTTCGTGATTGTAAATAACAGCCAGACCTGTATTTTCTACGAAATTATAGTATTATTTATCATGTGACAAATTTTCAAATCCGGGAAAATAAGAGCAAAATTTTTGTAATTCTTACGATTTTCAAGATGCCGCCAGAACAATTTGCCAATTTCATAAATCAGCCAGACTTAATTTTGATTATAGTTTATGACCAAATAATGAGTTAAATTTTAAGCATGGGAAAATAAGGGCTACGTATTTCAAAAACCGGTCAAATTTTTGCTTCCGCAAATTTTCAGCCAGACTGACTTTCCTTCACTTGGGATGTGCCAGACTGTTATTTCCATTAATAAAATGACTCACTTTAATTAATGTGAAATATTTATGACTGGGAAAATAAGTGGACTTGACTTTTTGGCTCATCTAGTGAACCCATCCGAAAATTTTAGCCAGACACACAAATTGTCGTTTTGTGTCACCATTTGAACAAACTTAATGACATTCACAAACTGGGAAAATAAGTACCGAAAATCTTCACTGCCTCCCGGACTATTACAACATATTCATCAGTACTATAAAAAGCTTTGTTAATGAGGTAGTTTTTTATGCAAGATTTAAATAAATCTACATTCATTGCCCTAATACTTAAAGGTAAGGAATTATAGAATTTAATACCATAATAATTGGTTCCATTTCGGGTTCTTTCCAATCTGCTAAGATTGACACTTAAATCATGTTTACAGCGAGTATCATGGTTATGTACATTTTCGCGAAAATTATATTTATGTATGTGTTTTTTGGTGTAGATCAAACATTTATATATAAAAATGCTGGGGAAAGTAAGTATTCCTGGGCTTTTAAAATAGGTTTTACAATCAGCCCTATAATTTAAACCTGCCACTATTCTCAAGGCACGCCTTTGTAGACCAAAGACGCGATTTTTAGTGCTTGAGTGTCCCCAAGCTAAAATTCCATATCGAATTACAGATTCAATTAATGCAAAATAAGCAACTCGTAGATATTCAAGTGATAGATAATTGGAGAGATTACGTAGAAAAAATATATTTGATGTTAGTTTGGTGGCAATAGAGTCTCCTTGATTAACCCAGAGCAATTTGGAATCAAGGTGTACCCCGAGAAATTTTGTAAAAGAGTAGTCGCAGTTTTTCAGAGAGAAAATAAGATTAACAGTTTTATTTGTGTTCAAACATAAACGATTGGAGGTGAACCATAATGTGTGTGTGAATAATGTGATATTATCCGCTGAGATAAGATAATCAGGCATATCATTAACAAAAATGAGAAACAACAGAGGCCCCAATATAGATCCTTGAGGGACTCCATACTGCAGTCCATGGACCCCTGCTGGTGAAACGTGTAATTCTGCATTGTATCATGGTTAAAACCCTTTTTTTTCCATATGTAAACATTCAAATTCGTATATATATTCGTTTCTATTTATTTATTTAAATACTTTACCCAAGGATTATTGGTTTAATTTAATTAAAAAACGCTGTCCCAAGGCGGGACTTAAGTTCAGTCCCGAGTGACGTCATAATTTTAAGATTTGTTATGTTACGATAAAACTAAAACAAATCAACTAAAACAACCAACCCAACCCAACACTTTTTAACAAAGGAACAACAAATTTATAAAAGTTCGACAACTTCTAGTATTATCGAACCCGGTACCTCTCGCATGCAAACCGACCGCCCTACCATCTGAGGCATCCAGCTTTACATTAATTTTATAACGCTCGGGGAATAAAAACGAATCAGCGCACCCAAATTACCCTAGAAAAATTGTTGGCTCCCCTGTGGCAAACAACATTTTTTATTTTGTCGACCAGTGTTATTTATGGTTCAAAATGTGCTCCGTTATTAAATTTTGCTAAACAATAATAAAATCTGTTTTCGAACTCTTGTCGAACTTTTTGAAACGTTTTAGGAGTTACATTCTTGAATTAATCTTCGTTTAAGTTCTTGAATGTTCTGGTGGTGGTGTTTTGTAGACTTGTTTTTTAATGTCTCCAAAGAAAAAAGAGGCGTTAAATCTGGATATCTGCCGGCCATTCTACCAATCTATTTCTCAGAAAACCTTTCGTTTAACCATTCTCTGACTGGTAAAGCTTAGTGAGGAGGAGCTCCATCTTCTTGAAAGTACAAAATTTTATATTTAATGTCTTTCGTCAAGCAACATGTTTTCTTGTTCTAATGACTGGGTAATAAGTGAAGGTCTATCACATTTTTAAAAACATCAAGATTTAATTCTCCAGTCAAGTTTTCTTTGATAAAAAGTGGTCCAATTATTTCGTTGCCAAGAATACCAGCCCATAGGTACATTGATTTTTGAAAAAAAATTTGGATTTTCATTGTCCTAGTACCCACAATTGTGTTTATTTACAAATCCATTTAGAAAAAAAGTAAATTCATCGCTGAAACAAATATTTTTTAATATTTTGGGAGCAACCGCAATTCATTGCGTCATTTCCTTACAAAACTGGATTCTTCTGTCGTAGTTATCTTCGCTGAGTTGCTGGCACACTTGAATTTTATAAGGGAAAAACTTACTACTACTTTTGGAATGGAACCACATCAAAATGACCGAAAACTTCATTTTGTGCGGGTTCATCCAGTACACTTGATCTTGTGTGTTTTCTGTTGCACACTAAACCAGTTTCCCCAAATTTTGTTAATAGGTTAGTATTGATTACCTACATTTTTGCATGTATGTGTCTCATTAAAAACAGTGCGGTTCTTCGAGCACAGGAATCAAATCCGTAAATGAAAATTAATTCGGTTCTTTCTGCTAAACTTTAGTTTGATATATCAATACAAATATTTTAACTAAAACGTATTACAACTCTGTAAATTGAAATGAAGCAAATAAAACAATTTTCTTAAGGCCGTATTACAGCCGGCAATTCTGTCGGCAATTGCAATGAAAATTGCCGTAGGCATGCGCGGTAGATGGTTCCCGGTCACTTTCCCGAATGCAATTTCCCGACTGACCAATTTCCCGATAGACCATTTTCCCGACAAACCATTTTCCCGATGACGTTTTTCCCGACAGCACTCTTCCCGACAGACTATGTTCACGACAAAAATCTTATTATTCACTTAAGAAACGTTTTTCCCGATAGCCCTTTTCCCGAAAGATTATGTTCACGACAAAAGTTTTATTATCTAGTAAAGAAAAACATACCTGGTCAAAAATGATTTCGGTATCCGCTTGTTCCTTCTGGAATTCTGTAAGGGCCAATGGGGCGGGGTCGGTTGGGTTGGGTTGTTGGGTTTGGGTTGGTTTTGAAGCGGGCGGACTCGGGACGTTGGTTAAGGAAAAAAGATCTGCTTCTCGTCCTAAGATTGCGTCATTGGATGACGTCACTCTGTTAAAATATATTGTGTCGTTTGTGGTAAAAATTATTTGTCTTAAAAATGACTTGTCGGGAAAATGGCTTGTCAGGAAAATGGCTTGTCGGGAAAACGACTTTCGGGAAAATGGTGTCGGGAAAAATCTTGTCGGGAAAATGGTGTGTCGGGAAAATGGTCTGTCGGGAAATTGGTCTGTCGGGAAAATGACTTTCGGAAAAGTGACCGGTAATCGCGGTAGATACATTTCGACGAATCTCTTGCAATTGACGAAAATCGGTCCGGATGGATTTTTATTGCCGTTTTACGGCAATTCTGGGGTGAAATCTGGTAACTTTTATGTTACCAACCCTACTACAAATTCTCTAGAGAGACGCTGTTTGACTTAAACAGTTTAAGGTTATTTGTTTTATGATTGGCATTGTGTTCAAAGTTCTAGTATCCATTTCACTCATTAATTTTTAAATATCTCCACTAAATAACAAATAAACTTAGTGTTTACAAAATCGTATATTTTCTTCGGTTGGTAGCACGGTAATAAACAGCAAGTTGTCTTGCCATTGCTGACTGTAAAACAACATGCAATACCGCCTTGAAAACTTGATGGCAAGAAAAATTGCTGCAAGAAGAATTGCCGGCTGTAATACGGCCTTTATATTGTTTTATGCAATTCTTTGTTTTATTTATATCACACCTTTTTTAGAAAAATTATTTTTTTTGGTCTAAAATTTATCATGCTGAAACTACTGAATAAAAAAAATATAAAAATTAAATATTTGGTAAAAAAATTGGTACAAAATTATAAACAAATTTTTGTTTGTAATGTTCTTAATCGGTAATTATTTTTTTTAACATGGTGACACCTAATTATTACAGAATTTGAAAAAAAATCTCTGGGTTGGAACACAAGTTCGTAAATATTTGGAATTTTGTTGCACGGGGTGCGCGAGAAAAAACGTAATATTTGTGATGGAAAACACATTGTTACAGGTACCACCACGGGAGGTTTTTAAACTAAAATTTTCACTTAAAATACTGAAAAATTACTTATAAATATACCTATATTTTTTTTAATTTCATAAATCTCGTGAAGCCTTTTCCCATTCTTGTGACGATGTGAAGATTATTGAATTATTGAACCCGCTACCCCCTAACTTATTTTTTCCCATTATGATCTTCTGAAACAAACTAGTATAAACCAGGCCATTTTTACTTAAAATACTGAAAAATAACCTAAAAATTTTTTATAAAAATGTTTAATACAGGGTGTTATGTAATTAATGTTATATATTAAAATGGGTTGTTCCTTAGGGTCCATAAAGAAGCACCTGAAACTTTTTTTTTCTAAATTCCAAAGTCTAAAAATAATTTATAATAACCTTTATCCTACCAAAAAGTACGCCACTGATCGACTAGGAACTTTAGGTTAATCTGGTGGATTTATTATGTTATGGTTGGTAACAATGTTTCCAAAATCTCTCAAAAAAGTTGACAAACATTGTTTAAATTTAGCTTAATTACAAAAATGACAAAATTAACAATGCAAATTGTCAATTTGGCGTTTTTATTAATTGTTGGTTATTTCATTTTTGTACTGCAGGTAAATTCAAACAAAATCTGCCAACTTTTATGACAGAATTTAGTGCATTTCTTTTAAATTTTAGGTTATGTTCTCAAATTGTAAATATCTTAACTAAGGGAAGTGCTTTTGGATTTATTTACACAAATTAAATGTTTAAAGTTTAACTTGTCCCAATTTCATCTAAGTAAACAGAGAAAAAAACTGATGAAAAAATTAATTTTGTTATTATGGATTTCAAATTTCAAAGGTACTAAATTTTCTAATCATTGCTTAAGCTAATAGCTGGATCAGTAAATAAATCCAGAAGGGTATTAGAGCTTTAAGGGCATAAAACTTTTGTATTTATTGAGTTTTTATTTATTTTTTGCAAGAAAAATTTTTAGTAACAATTTTTTACATCTGGCAACGCATAGCTACTTTGTTGGTTGGTATCTAACTCACAAAATACAGGTGTGCAGAGATAAACAAGTGTGTAACCAGTGGCGTATCACAAAAAATATAAAAAACTTCTAATGCATATTTTTTCTTTATCTTTAGAAAAATGTTTTTTTAAATATTTTTCCTTTATTCCTTATGTCAAAAGGTATTCAGTATTTTAATATATAACATTAATTACATAACACCCTGTATAGTGAATTTTTAAAATAAATAGACTATAGACATTCTTATGTGACAAAAAACAAATACCCGTTACATGTTTAAAATATGCATTTAAAATTTATTATTTCGTAAAAAAATTAAATAAAAAAACCAATAAAAATTACGAAGTTTTATGTAAAATTATAAGGGGTAAAATTTTCATAAGTCGAGTATTTTTATAATTTTTGGGCCAGTCTAGATGTCCATTCGGCCAATCTGACATAGCGGCCCACCGGGATCTGTCCCGGCTTCCCGCTGGAGCCCATCCGCCCCTGACTTTAATGGATCAGAAATTGCATTTCCATTAAAATAATGTGTGCCATTTAAATTATTTTAGTAAGGGTAGCTGGAGGTGACAGGGTGCAACATAAAGTTTGTTTAACACTGGATTTGCACCTTCTCTCTAAAAATGAATTAGTCAAAAATGACTTATTTAATAGTTATTAATGGCTGATTTTTCACTTGTACCATGGTTAACCATGGAATACCATGGTATCACAAAATTTAACAGCCAATTCATATGTAAAATAGTTCCCTGAATCCGAAAATACTGTTCAAAATTATAAAAGTGGAGCAGTTTTTGAGATATGGTCAATTACATATTAAATGGAAAATTGAATATATCTCAAAAACTGTACTTTTTTAACTTCTGACAACATTTTCGGATTCAGGGGACAATTTTACATAAGAATTGGCTGTTAAATTTTGGGATACCATGGTATCCCATGGTTAAATATGGTACAAGTGAAAAAGCAGCCACTAATAACTATTAAATTAGTCATTTTTGACTAATTCATTTTTAGAGAGTTGATATATGAATTAACCCGATTTTGCTCAAGATCATATTTACTACTCGTAGAACTCAAAAGTTATTAAGGGTAGCTAGTTTTTAATTGATATAATAATCTGTATAGGTACATAGAAGATTTAGTTGATTTGACAGTTCCAAGAAGATAAATTTTCCAACATAAAATACAATACCTGCATAAAATATGCGCATTATCCAAATTAAAATTTAATTTCAATAATTTTAGCGCCGTTCGTCCCATAACACACACACTAAAGAAATAAGGTCGGCATCTTTCCAAAACCTTTTTGCTGACTACAACGATATATTAGCTTTCAGCCACTCATTTTTCCCCTTTTATCTTTTTCTTATCTGTATATTATGTTTCGGTTATGGGCATAGTATTAATACTATTGTTTTCAATTTTAATTTAAATTTAAGTTTGCGAAAAAAAGATACCTTTTTGTATTCCTCTTATTTCTTTAAAAACCTTATTCGAGGACCTGCATTTGGAATCAAGTCTTTTAAAATTTCTGTGTTTATATTAAAAAGCTTTTCCTCATCGATATCTTGTCCTACAATAAAGTTTATTTCATGGTAAAATAATATTACACTTAAATGAACTTCCCTTTAAAAACATCAATTATATTGGCATATCCCCATTTGTCTAATAACGATTCCACTGCTATAAAAGTTGCTGATTATGAAACACTTAGTTTATTAATATGAATGCAATATTTAAACATGTACCTACATGTAGGTAGGTAATAATCATATCACAAGCATGAAAATATTACTATAAACTTAGCTTCGCCTTCAATTATTACAAAGCATTAATATTAAACATATCAGAGGCATTCTATATTGTAAAAAAATATTTAAAAAATCACACCTACCAAGTTTTTCGCTGTAAAATTGCACCCAAACGTCAACAATGGTGTGGTGGCAGAGATAGAGAAAAAACAGAACATATAACGACATAATATACAACATTTAGGCAATTCATTTAAATGTATGATTTAAATTAACAGTATTACTCTCGGTTAAATTATCTTTACATTAGAGTAATAAGTAAGATAAAAATGTTAACAAAATATCTTGCAATTTTAGAATAATTACTAAGATATGTTGACTCAATATTTTAAGTTTGTACAGGCAAAATACAAAAGAACATCGCTTCAATAATTTTACATATTCGTTTAAATTTTGTGTGTTTTCATTTAACTAATAGAAAAATTATTTAATCAAATTTCTTAACAATAATTATTCAATATACGTTTAGTGTTGATATACTGATTTAAACAAAATGGACTATTAAAATAACATTTTTAATTTGACATTCTCAAAGTATTAATGAAAGTAAAATTTAAGTTTATGTCAACAAAATTTTCACATACAAAGCCGTAGACCTGCTGGACTGTTTTAGGTGGGCCACCCTGTATATGACAACCTTAAACATATCGTCTTGGTTTTTTCACCAAATTGCCTTAATTTTTGTTTATAAATATCACCGTAATATAAAGTTGAATTAAGGTTGATTTAAAGGACCTAATTTGCAGTACATATATGTATTATACATTAAAATCAAAAGCTTAACATAAATGTCTTTGGCCAGTTATATTAATCAATTTATTGTTCAATATTAACCCAAATAAGCATATTCGCTCGAATGAATTAATTAATGCAGTGGTCGTTGTTTGTGCATAGTGTGCGACCATTTGATTGTTTGCGGGTAAAGTTGTGATAAGGACTATTGAGGAGTTTCGAAATATCCCTATCCAAAGTTAATTTAAAGTTCTTATCCGAGTTTGTACCAACTAATTTTGAAATTCGTGTGATAAATCATGTAAATTTAAATCAAACTGCATGGCTTCGACAAGTCGTCCATGTTGTCAATTTTCAGGACAGAAATACATTAATTTTTATTAATGTCTTACAATATAATTTGTAAATAATTTATTGTGAATTGGTTTGTAGCAAATGTACCTATTACATATTGTAACATTAATCTCTGTTTAAATAAATATATTAAGTATACAGGGTTTCCCATAACTAATGGACAAAACAGCAACTGTAGAAATAGAAAATCAAAATAGGTCGATTAACACAAATAGGTATGCCTTAGTAAAATATTAATATTAACCGAGATACAGGGCGATAAATGTGAGATAATATTTTTGAAAATTTGTAATATTTAAAAAACAGTAAATGTATCAAACTACAAATTTGTACAGTATAGTTTTTAATGACGAGAAATACAAGTTTGTAATAATATTTTATGGTACAACACAGGTTGAATTAAGATAAAAAAGAAAGTAAGTATTGATAGGTGTGTTTATTTCTCGTCCTTAAAAACAATAGAGTAGAAATTTTGAGTTTAATTTATTTAATTGTTTTTTTCAATGTTTCAAGCACGGAACTGTGGTTACAAGTTTTCCAAAACATTATTGACTTTTTCTCTGCATGACCCTTTCCATGTTCTTGCCTCCGGAAAAGTTGCTACTTCCCTGCAGTGGCGGCTCGTGGGTGTACAGGAGGGTGAGGCTACATAAGGTTAATTTAATCTAAATACGAATAAATTTCCACGTCACCCAGGAGGTATTATTCTGCGACGCGTTGACCTTTTTTAAAATGGAGCCGATAGCACTACTAAACCAAAAAATAAACTCTAAAAAACAAAACAAACAAAATATCACATCAAAGACTAGTTTTAATCTTAAACTTAAAATATAGTCTTAAAAAAGTTAAAAATAAATAAATTAATCAAAAAATAAAAATAAAACTAAAAAGTCGACCCCTACCTAAGTATCAAAAAATATAAAATACTATACGTCTATCTTTTAAGATTGAAAATGTATCTATTATTTGGTCGTAAAATTGTGGGTCTGCAGTGAGATTTAAAAGTAATTCTAAATTTTCAAACCGCGTCTCTAATTGAAGAATTATGCAATCTATTATTTCAAAATATAAAATTTGCTTAATAAAAACTGCTAAATCTACATTAGTGTGTTCCCTACAATAATTAAATAAGAAATTTTACTAATCGAGACAAAAACTATAAAAGATCAGCCAAAAGTTTTTTAAATAATTTAATCTGAATCAAAACAATAACGTGCTCTACAAACGCTAAGAGAAGACTGGCAACCTTCTTTGTCTCCGCTGGCATCCCACCATAAACGGACCACCAATCAGAACAAACCAAGCTAACTAAATTTCGCCTCATCTACGGTGTTTATTCGCGAACTTACGGCGATATTTTTGTTGGTGCGTCATTTTCGCTTTCAAGAGGTAAATGGGAGCTTCCGAGGCTGTGAAAATTTCGCCTCTGTCCAAGCGACTCTCAACGATGCACGTTAACTTGACGCGCTTTGCGCCTGGATTTTTATTTTTATTGGGTAGAACTGTTGTAAAAATACACTTGTAATAGGCAAAAATATAAATACAAAAAGTCGTTCGTTCCTTCATTTTAAGGGTGAGGCGCGGCCTCAGAGGCCTACCCTGACGAGCCGCCACTGCTTCCCTGTGTATAATATAGTAAGCAGAGCTGAGCACGAGTACTAAAAAAAGTATTCGTAAAATTTTTAGTACGAGTTCTTAAAATATTTACTCGTTAGTACATTTGTAAAAAAAGGTTATGGTTACGAGTAGTAATCGTGAAAACACGAGTAAGGAGTACAAGTACTTTTGAAAAAAAAAGTTAGTTATAATTGATTATTCTTTACTTTCTAAAAATGGGTTAGTCAAAAATGACTAATTGTCATAGCGAAAAAGCAGTCACAATTCTCGTCAATAGCAATTTGTATTTTTAACATTTAGCAGTTAATTTCCATGTAACATTGTTCCCTTCATCCGAAAATGTCATCAAAAGTTAGAAAAGTAGAACAGTTTTTGAGATATAGTCAATTTTCCATATAATATGGAATTTACTTTATCTCAAAAACTGCTCCACATAATTTTTGACGGTATTTTCACTAATAACTGTGGTAATTAGTCATTTTTAGAGAGTGTACATTATACATACTTTGGTCCTGAGCTATAAAAATACAAATACAAATTTATAAAATTATTTATTTTAAACATTATGTACATAAAATAATAACAATGCTTAAATAGTCTATAATTTTATCTATTTACTTGTTATAAAACCTATAGGCTATATAACTATAGCTATATATATATATTATATTATACTATATATTATATAATTTAAAACAGACTTCCAAACAAAATGATTTGATGCTTACGATATTTTGGCAAAAAGTCATCCATATAATAAACGAAAATACTCGTATATATTACTCGTGAATTCTACGAGTATTTTTTACGAGTACATTGAATTTGGTTTGTAAGTACGAGTATTTCAACTGAAAAATTCTTGAGTGCTCGTACTTTTTTACTCGTAATTGAAATACGAGTAAAAGTACTCAGTACTTGGCCAGCTCTGATAGTAAGTAAGTAAGCATACAGGATTGTTATTGGAACTACAAAGTCGGTTAAGTTAGCAAATTATTGGCATTTTTTTTGATAAAAATGGTGAAAACAGAAAAACAATTGAACGACGGATTTCCGAAATATTTACAAAAATAAATAAGTGAACTACAATAACTACTGTAATCTAAAAAATAAACAATTAATAAGCACTTGATCCCTCTGCAGATTGTTATTAAAATAAAGTAATAATTTGGTAACTTGATCTCTCTGCAGATTTTTATTAAAATAAAGTAATAATTCAACAACCATCAGAAAGTTCAATTGTATTAATTGTTTATTTTTAAGTGTTTGGTAATTATGCAATTTGTTCCAAATCATTTTTTTTTTAAATATTTAAAAATCCACAGGGTGTCCCGTGTTATTTTCTCGAGTCTTTCGGAAAGCCGACTCAATTTTTTTTCTGTTTTCACCATTTAAATCAGAAGAAAAAATGACACCAATTTGCTAATTTAACCGACTTGGTATCTTTAATAATTACGGAGTTATTATTGGTTTTTTCGTGAATAATGATTAACATTATAAATTCACTGCTTAACAACGTGAATAATAAACTTATTATTCACGTTGTTAGGCATCAGTGATTGGCCGATGTCAATGATCACTGGGATATGAACCAAACAGGTTTTAAATTGGGAGAAGGCGACTATAATAACATTTAAAATTGGTAAAAAGTGAGGTTAACCATTTGACATATGTCAGATTTAATTTATTTATTTTTGAAAATCACTTTATTATCTACTCCAGTAGGATAATCACTCAGATGATTTGAGTCTCTCGTTTGGCGACTCGAGACTCCTTATCCTCGTAAATAATAGCCTACATTACATATCTCTTGTATAATAAGAAACTATTATTTAAAATAAATATTCTTTTTTAAATTTGTGGCTTGACTCTTGACTTATACGTTTTTTATTATTCAACTAAATATATAAAGAGTTTTCCATTGGACTTTTTTGTAATTTAAATTAATAATAGACTTAAGTCAGATACTTGTGGAAGTATGTGTGTGTCAATACTGTATACGCCATCTGGCTTTGAATAGACGTACATAGTCATGGTTAATACAGAAATTAATTTAATTTATGTAAAGTAAATGCCATATCGAATTTATTGATTAATCGATCAATAATACTGGCAATTCGACATATGTAAAAAAAAAGAAAAGATGGGGACAAACACTCTCAACTGGCAATACTTTAGTTTATAAAAAAATTTAAATTTTCTAAAACTTTTTATTAACATATCCAATTTTTAATTAATTTATACTATTCGTGCCCAGATATTTTTTAAATATTTAAAATCATTAATATAAACTCGTAATCAATTATTTAAAATTAATATTATTATATTATTTTTAATTTATACCTATTTTAATTACCATTTAATGACATAACTGCTGAATGAATTAAATATTTATTTGGTAAACTTATGATAACAACAAGGTTATTAAGTCACAGTTTACAAATAAAATCTAACCGCGTCTATTTATAAATAGACCTATATTTGAGTTATTACAGTGTGGTCTACAGTTTCCTTACTCTCCATAAAACAGTGGGTGCAACCATCTCAGGCAAAATGCCGCACATCAAATGCAACCAAATCGAAAAAGTACTCGACGAGTAAGTACTTCCGCTTATCTTTACTTTTGCTTTATAGCGTTTGTTCGTAGGTATATAAGTAACGGTAAAAAATTGGCTCTACTTTTGGATTACGATGGTACATTGACACCGCTAGTTGCCCACCCAGACTTGGCTGTCATACCCAACGAAACCAAGGAGATATTGAATAGGATTTCCAAGTACGACGGGCTATTTTTGGCTGTTATTTCCGGGCGTGGACTCAGCAAAGTAAAGGAACTTGTAAGTAAAGATTTTTTACTAAGATAATGTAATACATGGATAATATCCTTTAAATATCATATAGACAAACAATAGTAACTATTGTTTATCTGCATAGATTCAATTTGTTTATCTATATGATATCCAACTGTTGTAGTAGTAAGGGTACAACAACTTCTACCGTTGATCAATAAATAATATTAATTTAAAATTTTATTTTTAAATTATCGACCTTTGACCCTTTGTTTTTATACAAACTTCTTTATTCTTGTTGGATGAGTATTTTTGTTTAAATGTTTAACAAAAAAATTGTAGATAATAAACTGACAATTCCAAAAAACTTTATTTTTTTAAAAGTCAGACCATAAATAACGAAAGTTTGTTTGAAAACAAAAATTTCAATAACAAAACAAAAGCTCAAATAAAAATTTTTTTTTTGAACAAGGCTCGATGAGATACAACTTTTATTACATTATCCATAAATTAAATTTAGTTCTTCGTTTTATTGATAAATATTTAAAAACGCGCATAATATTGCATATTTATATTATTATTTCCGTTCAGGTTTGTAATTATTTTTATGAAATCTACATCTATTTGAATTGTTTCTATTTTGTGGTATTAGCACAACTGGTTAAATTACTATGCTATATAATGCTATGCTATAGCATTCTAACTAAAATCTAAGTAGTTTTAATCGTTAACATTTTTTTAAGGTAACTATAAACTAAAAAAATCACCGTTTAAATTTACCAACCGGTTGCTACAACCTTAAGGTAAATTTAAAGGATATTTTTTAGTATAATTTAACTAAAAAAAATCTATTGGTAATGTTAGGATATTTTTAAAAAGAGTTTAAATTAACTATAAATAAACCAAATATTTAACTAATTTAGTTAGTAATATAAGTTAAAAAGTAGGTTATTTTAGAAGTAACAAAACGTTATATTAATTTATAATTTTAACTTTTGAAAATGGTTAAAAATACCTATTTTTTAGACATATTTTGGTTTAGTTTAACTTTTGATATAACTTTTTGGTAAATTAGCCACAGCTATGGTTAATTTGGAAATATTTTTTTAACCAACAAAAATTAGTCTCAATACAGCTTTATATACAGGGTGTTATGTAATTAATGTTATATATTAAAATGGGTTGTTCCTTAGGGTACATAAAGAAGCACCTGAAACTTTTTTTCTTCTAAATTCCAAAGTCTAAAAATAATTTATAATAACCTTTATCCTACCAAAAAGTACGCCACTGATCGACTAGGAACTTTAGGTTAATCTGGTGGATTTATTATGTTATGGTTGGTAACAACAGTTTTTCCAAAATCTCTCAAAAAAGTTGACAAACATTGTTTAAATTTAGCTTAATTACAAAAATGACAAAATTAACAATGCGAATTGTCAATTTGGCGTTTTCATTAATTGTTGGTTATTTCATTTTTGTACTGCAGGTAAATTCAAACAAAATCTGCCAACTTTTATGACAGAATCTAGTGCATTTCATTTAAATTTTAGGTTATGTTTTCAAATTGTAAATATCTTAACTAAGGGAAGTGCTTTTGGATTTATTTACACAAATTAAATGTTTAAAGTTTAACCTGTGAACTGGTCCCAATTTCATCTGAGTTAACAGAGAAAAAAACTGATGAAAAAATTAATTTTGTGGTTATGGATTTCAAATTTCAAAGGTACTAAATCATTGCTTAAGCTAATAGCTGGATCAGTAAATAAATACAGAAGGGTATTAGAGCTTTAAGGGCATAAAACTTTTGTATTTATTGAGTTTTTATTTAATTTTTGCAAGAAAAATTTTTAGTAACAATTTTTTACATCTGGCAACGCATAGCTACTTTGTTGGTTTGTATCTATGTACTCACAAAATACAGGTGTGCAGAGATAAACCAGTGTGTAACCAGTGGCGTATCACAAAAAATATAAAAAACTTCTAATGCATATTTTTTCTTTATCTTTGGAAAAATGCTTTTTAAAATATTTTTCGTTTATTCCTTATGTCAAAAGGTATTCAGTATTTTAATATATAACATTAATTACATAACACCCTGTATAAACCTATAGGTTGTGAGTTATGTGTGAAAATGGAGCCTAAAAGAAATAATTTTAAAAAATATAGACTTTCTTCAACTTACTATATACATAAGTGTTAACAAAGTTGTAAATCATTATTTATCTACAAATCTTAAAACAGTCCCCTTACATTTAATTAATTTGGTTTGATCACGGAACAGATGCGTTTTATAAAAATAACGCAGGGCTGCAACTAAAATCAAAACGTAAGATCGACGGGAATTTTTTTTTGGTTTGTTATTTTAAAAATAACAAGTTAGTTTAATTTAACTAATTTTGGTAATTATTTACTATAATGTGTTACATTAATAGTTATTTGTATACCAAGGCCGCGAAAACACTCTTTAGAGTACCGAGGGAAAAATTGCCGCCGAGGCCGCTTGCGGCCGAGGCAAGACAATCTCGAGGACTCTAAAGGGTTTCGAGGCTGTGGTATACACAAAATTTTTTGGGCAAGTACCTACACGTTTTATTGCTACATTGGAAACTTTAATTATAATATATTATGTGACAGATAATAAATTAAAAATAATTTAAAAATCTAGAATGGTTTCCATGGAAATGGCAAACAATTAAATGAGACATATAATATTTGACAGTAAAAGTTGTGTCAAAGAAAAGTAATAATGTTTAATTTTCAAAGTGATAGTGGTACTTCGATAACCGGAACTCCTCCGGAACTAACAATTGCTGCGAATTCTGCAGTGTCGCAGTTAGTACCTGAAAAATCAAAGAGAAAGTATGAAATATAAATATACCTATAAGTGACATTTACTTTAACGGCCGTCGCTATGACAACGGCCGCGAAATATCATTTCGCGGCCGCTAAAGCGTCCGCGAAATGTTACTTCGCGTACGGTTGCCCAAAAAAGCATTTAAACCTAAACCAAAAAGTTATAAATTACCGAAAAGTAACAATAAAATAAACTGGTAAAATGGTTTAAACTTGTAGGTTAATTTATATTGGTTATATAACCAATAAGTAAAAGCATCCTAAAATTGCCATATTGTTTGCTGTCCATTCTAACAAAATTAAATGCCATTAATTTAAATAATTGTTTTATTCAAAAAATAAGGACATTTAAACAAACCAATAATAAAATATAATTTTATTTTATGTTTAAAAGTATTTTAAATCAATTTCATTCGAAAAAATACGCTAAAAAAATATTTCTTTTAGTTTTTATTTTCTTTATTTCTTATTTTTTTCACATCATTTAAAATTTCGAAGTATTAGGTACTACTTCATCAGAAAAATATGTCCCATTGGGTTTTCCCTTGGAACTATTTAATATATCAATTGATATAATATATATTAGGTATATACATTAGGGTGTTTCATTTAAAAAGGCCATTTAAAACTCCAAAATATTGTTCAAAACATCAAAAAAAAATTCCCTCAAAGTTTGAGCCCTTAATTTTGATTTTTTATTTTAAATTTTTCCCATTACATGTATTTTTACTTTTTAAGCTATCATTTTGTGGTTCATTGTTACTTACAGAGTATTTAACGTTTTTTTTAAGAACCTTTAAGAATTTTTCTCTAACTTGATACACCTTGATGGTATCAGCTCTGAAAGTATTTTTTTTTAAATTTTTTCACCTATTTTTGAAAATATTAATAGGTAGTATGACTTTTTTCTTTAAAATTGTTTGGTAAGACAATAAGTACTTATTGTCTTACCAAACAATTTTAAAGAAATTTAATTCTCTACAAAAAAGTCCTTACCTAAATTTAACCAACATAACGTTAATTTTACCCTAACTGAATTTCTCACTTATCACAAAATAACGTTAATTTAAGGTTACTATTAAATATTTAACATTGTAATACAATATTACTTAAATGAATTAACCCGACATAACGTAAATTTAACGTTAATTTAACCAGGTGTGCTACTTAGGATTACACAGTGTTGCCAAGTTTTTTAGACTTGCTATATATCATATGACGCAGTGTGTTATTTTTGGGTCCCTATACAATAAAATTATTATAAAAATACATATTTTTACGGTTATCCCTAAGATTTACTACTTTTTTCTTAAATTTCCTGAAATCAACAAAATCATTTATAAAAATAATTAAGTGAATACTTTTTAACTTTAGGTGGGCATAAATGGAATCCACTACGCAGGAAACCACGGCTTCGAAATTCTGTCCCCCGATGGCTCCTTATACATCCACCAAATCCATGAGGAACTGCAGAAAAAGCTCAGAGAAATGGTGGACGAGCTCAGCAAAAACGCCTCCGACAACGGCGCCTGGGTGGAAGACAAAACCTACTCAATCACTTACCATTACAGAGCCGTACCGGACCAAATGAAGAAGGAGTACCAGGAAAAAGCGTTGAAGATCATGAATAAATCTGGGTTTAGGATCAATCAAGCTCATATGGCCATAGAGGCCAAACCTCCCATAAACTGGAATAAAGGTACAGCGTCGGTTATGATTTTAGAGAAGCATTTTTCGAAAAATTGGATGAATGAGACCAAGGTTATTTTCATTGGGGATGATACCACAGACGAAGATGCAATGGAGGTAAATTTTGTTTATTTATGGCTTGGCATTATGAAAATATACAATTTAATAATAACCTATTTATAAATATAACGATAATATTGTTTCAGGCATTAAAAGGAAATTCATGTACCTTTAGAATATCTCAAGATGAAAATGTTTCGACTCATTCCACTCACGTCCTAAAGTCGTTGGATTGTGTGCTGGATATTTTAAAGTGGATTGATAAATATTATTCCAAGTAATAATTTTATCAGTAAAAACTAGATAATTGCATTTTTATGTTAGTTATAATTTAATTTATTAACGAAGTTTTGTATCTAAAAATAAAATACACTAAAACCAAAATGTTTGATTAATATTAGAGGAGACTAACCAAATATGGAATACCATTTATACAGTTGAATCAGTGAGATTAAGAACATTACAAGTCCAAATGTCAAAATTTTGACAAAATATTAAAAAAAATCAGTTCTATAGTTCTAAATGCATTTTTGCGGGAATATTTTAACTATTTAATAAAATATAACGTTCACTCTCTAAAAATTAATTAGTCAAAAATGACCATGGAATATCATAGTATCCCAATATTTAAAAAAGTAGAACAGTTTTTGAGATACAGTCAATTTTCCATTTAATATGGAATTAACTATATCTCAAAAACTACTTCACTTTCATAATTTTTGACGGTATTTTTGGATTAGGGGACAATTTTACATAAGAATTGGCTGTTCAATTTTGTGATACCACTGTATTCCATGGTTAACCATGGTACAAGTGAAGAAGCAGGCACTAATAACTATTAAATTAGTCATTTTTGACTAATTCACTTTTAGAGAGCATACTCTGTAAAATAATTTATAACTTCTCACAAAAATGTATTTTTAACTTTAAAATTGATTTTAAAAATTGACTTGTCAAAATTAAATTTTTGGACTTGTACTGTTCTTATTCTCACCGATTCAGATTTAGGTACAATTATATAGACTTTACTTGTGATTACTATATAATTTAACTTTAGGCTAATGTTTACATGACATTAAGTGACCTTTTAAGAACAAACTGACAAGTTGTGTCTTTATGGCGTTTTAGTCAGTTGGCAAAATCATACAATCGTTAAAATTTAGTGCCCTTCTTGTAGAATAATGCCAAATGTAATAGTTATTTGTATTACAAGTGTTAAAAAGCGAATTTTTTATGCGAGTGTTTAATTTGCTCACGAGGCCATTAGGCAGAGTGTGCATTAACACGAGCTTGAAGAAAGCTTTTCTCACAAGTGAAACACAATGTTTTTTCTACCACCCTTTTGTTTTTTATTATTTTCAAATACAAAACAATATAACCTAAAAACGTGTTTGACAACTGTTAAAATTACTTTAATCAAATTTGAATTTAATATACAAACACAATTAATTGTGTTCTAAATGATTTTAGACATACATATAAAATACAATACAAATGCCAAACAATGCTGTCAATTTCTTTTCACACAGACCTGCCACTTTTCATACAGAAATGTCACTTTACATTCGAGTTTTGCCTTGCCAATGAAAAGATTCATTTTCTAAGCAACGGAGCCATTAAGAAATGTGACTTTTACATAGTGGTCGTAGAAAAAAAATATTTTTTTATCTTAACTACCCTGCTTAAAATACCCCATAGAGACCTATACAAAATAATCTATCGGGCGCTACCGGATTCTATATGTGCATTTGTCCATGGGTTTTTCCGGATACAGCCCGATAGAAAATGTATAGGAAATTACCTATAGGCACACCATAACTTTTACATTTTCCCTATTGAGACCGATAGAAAATAACTCAATGAAGGATATATAGGGATATCCCTATAGAGCAACCATAAAACATTTGACAAAATTTTATTAAAACCTATAGGGTCCTATAGGGAAAAAACTAATTTCTACATTTATGTGTATTTTCCCCATTGAAACCGATAGCAAATAAATCAATGGTGGATATCCCTATAGAACAACCATAAATCTCAACTACGGGTCCTATACAAACCGATACACCCTATAGAAACACCATACATCCCGATACAAATATCTATCGGTTTGAACAGGGTCTCTATGGGGTATTTTAAGCAGGGTATGGTTTCGCGTAAAAATCGAACAAATTTTGGACATTTGTTTGCAAGTGATGTCAGAATTAAATATATTTTTTTTACCTTGTTTCTACATCTAAATGGTGCATTTTTTTTAATACAAAAATTTCATCCATTGACCGCTGTGGTTAACAGGCCTTAAGTTACTCTACTGTGTTAAAAATAGATAAATTTCGATATTTTGTAATAACATTTTTATTTAAAAACGTATCGATTTGAAATTAAGATAAAATGTAGACCTAATAAATGACAATAAATCCACGTATTATTTTTTTTAGATTTTAACATACAGGGGGCGCTGGGGACAATTTAATTTAAAATTTTACCATTTTTTAAGGGTTAAAAAATCGAAGAAGCAACGTTGTTTTATAATTTTGAGTATATCACGGTAAAGTACTGATAATTAACTATTATTTGATATATAAACTTCTATATGCAAATTATGTTTCTACGAGAGACATCATTTTTAAGTTAGGCCTTCAAAGAGCATAATACTAACGTGTTTTACAAAGTATATTTTGTTTTATCTAGTTTTATAATATAATGTATTATATATTACCTAGTATACATTATATATTGCATATAATATATTATATATAACATACAATTCTTACATATTTATTTAAAAAATCGCCATAGATGGAGCTAAAATTACTTTTATTTATAAATTTAAATTTTTTTCAAGTTTACTAATTTTGATTATAGTAGGCATCATAGACTTTTTTTTCTCTATGGTAACCTACCATTGGAAGCATGAAAGATAATATGACAGTTCAGTTTATAAAATGAATAAACTAAATAATATTTATAGACAGTGTTAGCCAGTTAGAAATTATAACCTACTTTAATTTTATTTTTTGCTACACAACCAAGCTACAATTTATTTTTTACTCGATAAGCGAGCTTTAATTTTAATTCCAAACTGAGGAAAGTAATATTTACCCAATAAATAAATTAGAATAAAGACTTTATTTTTTATGTTGCGATCGGCTATTTAGATATATGTATATTTTATAATCAGTTGTTTTTCGCTTTTTTTGTAATTAGTTATTTTGCATTTTTTATATTTAATATAATGCTATACAGGGTGTTTCGCAACCTATATGGATTTAAAATTTTAATAGCGTATACAATTTGATTTAGACTATAGGGCAATTCCATGATAACTCACGGGACATTCAGATGACAGAAATAAAATTTAACTTGGTATACCAGAATACCTATATTTATTAGGAATGTATAAAATGTTTAAACTTTAAAGGATAGGCCAATGTACATTTTTAACATTTTTGAATAAGTTCACCAATTGATCTCCAGACAAAATGCAGACAAAACGTGTGATAACTCATGGGACACGAAAAACTTTATTTAAAAAATTGGTTAAATGAAGCAACCTTTTTCTCTGAATCCTAAACTGTATGAAACATAATCTTATTTTAAAAATATACTTTGCCTATAGTGTATTAAAAAAACATTCAACTTTGTCGAATTCAAAAACCCTTTTTAAGTCCGCCATTTTTTTAAAATTTCAACTCAAATTGGAATTTCCCGACCCAGAAAACCCTTACATTAATAATTATTAATTAGATTTTTTTTTATTTTTGGACAGTTTTTTGAGTGCTTTGAACCACTGTGCGGTAGAATATAATAATTTGTGCGACTATTTGGCAAAAGAGGAGATTCTCGCAGATTATTTAAACATTATGAAATGTACATTCAATACCCTTTGCCAATGCAAAACCATAACCAAATAATTTATTAAGCTTGTTAAATTAGGTCAGCTAAGAAAAAACGCTAAAACATGAGGTATACCTACTAAGTATTACCTAGCTATAGCTTCTCGCTTTATTAAAAACTAAATTGTGTTGAGAGTTCATAAAAAGAGTTTTAAGAGGAGCTTAGCAATTTGAAGGGAGCGTGCAGATTGGCTTGAAAGGTGTACGGTAGGTTAATGTATATGCAAATAGGTGTGTATTCCATCGCCGCCTAGCGCCGCCACCTTATTCGTCGCCGCCGCCGCCACCGAGCGGACGTCGGATCAATAGAGGCGGGAGAGGGCCCATCTGCCGACAATGTTGCCAACAACAACTTCACCTAAAACTTATGAATGGAAGTCAAATTTGTCGCAACATTGACCGAATAAAATTAAATGAAAACTCACTTCGTACGACTATAATAGTATATTAAAGAACTAATGTCATAAGACGTCATTTTGTCGCACGCGGACAATTTATATAATGGACAAGTGCGACAAAAGGTCTTATGACATGAGTTCTTTATGCTATTTTATCTATTTTGCAAACATTTCATAAAACAAATTAATTTTATACCTTATATTCAATTTGGTCGAATTTTACTTTACATAGTTGGTATCTCAGTTTGAAGTTTGAAAGGTCATTAACCTTTCAAACATTATCACATTCTTTCGCTATGGCGTCGTTAATTTACAATAAGTATTTACAATAAGCGGCTGTTAAAGAAGAAAAAAGGATTTTCTTTGTTGTTAAACAAAATTTATTGCACGAAAAGTCTCGTAAGTACTAGAAAACAAATCATAAAAATATTATAGTCTATAGGTATTCAAAATTGTATTTTACCAGTAGCCAACCTATAAAATCAAAATTTTGGGTGGAATAAAGTACCTCATTAAAGAACCAAAAGCGGTGTTATAATGAAGTCATTATGAAACCAAAATAGATAAAATAATTTTAAAATGATGAAAATTTTGTTTATTTTGGTAAACTTGGTCCCGATAACATCTATGTCGCGGCCGGTCGCTTCCTGGCCTTTTGTTTAAAAAATGGCGAATGCACTGGTATTAATGAATTAATAATAATAGAATTTTTTAATAACTTGACAACAACGCCATATATCGAATCCTTGTTTAGCTATGAACCTTCGTCTCGACCACAATCCATACAACAATGTCTGTTCGCGCATACTTAAAATCACTGCAACACCGCACAGAATCTAACAGCGGCCATTTTTATGTTGCTTTGGGTTTGTTTATACAGATTAAAAACAGTTGTCTGGAATGTTATAGTAAACAAAGCCTATTAATTAGATCCATGCGTGTTTATAGTTTCTTATTTCTGTTTATTCTTTGCCTTAGCCTTAAAATGGAAAGTTGTGAATTCATGTAAAAATAATTCAAATAATTATAAAGATCAACAACACACAAATAGCACAGTAAAAATCACAAAAAATAAAAATATTCATGTTTTTTTATAGTTCAGTGTTAAATCGTTGAGTTTTATATACCTACTGTGCTTGTACATTAATATTATGTTGTTGTGCGGTTGTGCCTTTATTTATCTTATAGTTATTTATGTCATTAGGTTAAGAAGTAAGGCTTTTTGTGCTAAGCTCAAGGTTTGAAGGCCGACGCCTAGCGGAGGCCTTCAATTGAGCGAAGCACAAAAAGGCACTTCTTGGCCGAATGGCATACAACATTTTATCTTCAAAGCACTTTATATAGGTCAATTTAATTCAACATCAAAGCGGCCTAACCTCACTTTTTTAGAATCTCATTTATTTATTAGCTAAAGATTACATTAGATGTACAATAATTATTATTGCTTTTAGAAGCAGTAATAGTTTGACAATACCTAGCAACATGATTTAAGTAGAAATGGATTTTTGCTATTACATTGAATTCAATTAATTGTTTAATAAATAGGTAGGTTCAATTTGTTTGGATTTTTATTTAAAAAATAGGTAGTTTGGAATGTTTAAGCTGTGTTTAACTGAAAACCTAAAGCAATTTAAAACCTAAAGATAATTTAAATCGTAAAAAAAGAATCGTGCGTTTTCTTGGTTGCCTAACCTCACTTTTTGTTTTATTATTCATATTTAATTTTACAATAATTTAATGAAAAATATTAAACATTAACAGTAAAACAAACAAATTAGTGCCTATTATTATAATAAATAAATTAAACCAGTTTAGTTCGTTAATTTCTTAGAAAAGGATTAATTTGTCAAAACAATACCCCTAGCGAGAAAAAATCGAACTAATTACTTGCCTCATACAAATTTTTATCGGCCTAGGCCATAACAAGGTATTTCTTTATCGAATGTTGACAACAATAAAGTTTAAATTATAGACCGCGTGGAAATAAAAATAATTATTGTAAGATAGGTAAAAATGAGCAGTACCTCCTGGATAATGTGGAAACCTGCTTAAGGAATAAATAAAAATCCCACCTCGTCCCGAACTTTTTGTATTATTCTAGCTAAATTTTGAAAATCTTCTCGAGAAAGAACATATTTTTAAATAATATATTTTTATTATTTTGATTCTGAAGTGCTCCAAAAAATTGTTATTTTCTTTAAGTATGATTTTGGTATTCTGTAAAAACATAAAATATTTGAAGAAAAGAAATAATTTATAACAAAATATAGAATTAAAAATGTGTAAAAAAATTAAATGACGTGATTTCGTGAAACGGTATGCATTGGTACGTTTTTTTAACCTTTATTTTTAAAATCAGTTAAAATTTTTCATGGGAGGAAAATCGTGTTGTACTGTGTTATTAACAACCATGATATGCACAAACTATTTTTACACAGTGGATTGTGGGAAATTATGTAAGGCTTGGCAACGTTGGATGGCAGCAGGACTCCAAACTGCCTCACTTCAGGATCTGTTGGTCCTTTTAGCAAGAAGGAGGTCAAGGCCCAGTTACGCGCGTTGCTTTTTTTAACTGTCGTAGTTCCTCCTTCTAAATGGTACAGGTGTCAGGACCAAGTTTATTTTAAATATATATATTACAATTTTACTTAAAAATAAACTTTATTCATCAATAAAATGCTATCGTATAAAAACTTATAATACAATGTATTAAATTAATTAATTATTCCTTCAAGAAATCGTTGTCGGGGATGTTTTCCGAATCGGTTACTACTAAATTAACTCTTGACATCGATCTGCCATCGCCCGATTTGTACCTCAGCGCTTGAAACGTTCTGTATTCCATAAAGAACAAAGTTCCGATCAAAATCATCATGATGGAAATCAAGACGAAGATCCAAATCTCCGCCGTCCTACTCCCTCCGTTCGACGCTTCCCTCACCAAACTGTCGGCCACTTCTTTGAACGTCCTCTTTTTTACCTCGACGTTAACGCATTTTACGTCACCAGGGTTATCGCCATACAAAACGTACTTAAAGTTATCTTCCGAGAAAAATATCTCCATTTCTTTCTCCAAATCGCAAGGTAAAACGTTGTTTTGCAGTTGCAAGTAGTTTAAACGAGGTAATCTAGAGATCAGCGCAATGTAGTCCAAATCGTTCAAGTTATTGTAGGATAAATCCAGAGCGTGCAGTGAATGCAAGGTGAATACGCCCGTGATTTCCACGTCTTCCAATGCGTTGTGAGAGAAATTTAATACTCTTAACTGCGGTAAACCGGAGTACAACCCGGTCTGGAATACAGTCAGCTTGTTCGATGATATGTTTAGGTTTCTCAGGTTGTGCAAGCTTTGCAAGGTTTTTTGCGGCACTTCAGCAATATTATTAAAAGACAAATCCAAATTTTCCAAGTTTTGCAAGGTTCCGAAAATATCAGGATTCAATTTGTTGATTTGATTGTGGGATAAATCAAGGTTGACTAAAGAGTTTCCAGAAGGTTCTGGGTTAATACTTATAGACGGGATGGTTATTTTATTCCAAGCCAGGTCTAACAGCCTCAACGAAGTTAAGTTGTAGAATTCCTGACCCATCAACGAAGTGATCAGGTTTTCTCTAAGGTTTAGGACCTTTAGGTTGGTCAAGTTGGCACTGAACGCACTCACGTTGGATATTCTATTGTTTTGCAAGTTAAGTTCCACTAAGTTGTTGAGCCCCGTGAAGGCTTTTGTGGGCATGAAAGCAATTTGGTTGTTTTGAAGTTGGAGCTTCTCGAGATTAATCAGTTCAGTGAAACCGCCATCCGACAAACTGTTGATTTTGTTGTTATCCAAGTCCAGAGTTTTGATTTTTTTCACACCAGAAAATGAGCCGGGAAAAATATTCGATATCTCGTTGTTACCGAGACTTAAATGTTCCATGAAGATAAGCCCCACGAACGCTTTTGGTTTCACGCTTTGAACGGAGCTGTTCCTTAAGTCCAAAAATTTGATCTGGTTTCCAGACAAATCGAAGGTACCCGATTCCAATGTGGTTAGAGTGCAGTTCAAGCAGCGTAACGTCTCGTCGAGCTGATCGAATCTGTACTGGGTGGCTTTAAAATAACTTGGGTTTGCGTTGACGCAAGTCGCTGTTAACGATCCTCTTTCTCCATAGGAACATTTTGTCGGGTCTGAAGTTGCCCTTTGGAAGGTCAGCGCTTCCAGGTCTCCAATGCATAGAAGTAGGCTTAGGACTGCCGTCCATGGCAACTGATTCTGAAAATACAAAAATAAATAAATTAATTCGCCATACCAAAACATTTTTTTATTTTCAAGCGTTATTGTTATCAACGCTTACTACCAAAGTAGTCTGTAAAAATAATTTAGACCAATCACCCCTTTAACATCCTAGTCTGTAAAAATCCCGTTACACGGAAAAAAAGCTATTCTATATTAAAGATTAATCATCTCGGTCCAAGTATATGTTCATCTCACCATTCCGCAAGTATAGCTAATTTTCATTCAAGGATTGATTTATTCTTATTTGTAATATAAATTAATACTTATTTAAAGAATATAGTGGGTTAAATGCAAGAACTAACCTATACTTATTTGGATATAAATTCAATGTTAGTTGCAAGGGTTAACTTATTCTTATATCAAGAAAAACTATCACATTGTTTTAAATGTAAGCAATACTTTTTTTTAACAGAACAGCCTCAAATAAAATATAAACTATGCTTAATTTAAGAATAAGTATTTTTTCATACAAATTTTATAATTCTTGGATTTACAATATTTACTTTTGGATTAAACATAAGGTATCTTTTATGTAAGTTAAGCAATAATTGTACTCTGTCAATAAAAATATAACTGTTCCTAACAGTTTGGTTGGTTTGGTCTCCTTCCACGATAAGATAAGGTTGAATTTCTGTGCTTACTTTCCTTTTTGCAGCTTTTTTAATTTGGCGTTCAATAGTCGGGTTAATATCTCCAGGAACCTTTATAAAAATATTTTGTGAAATGTGCAAAAAACAAATTTGAAAATTTTACCTGGCAAAATATAATTAAAGCTTCCACTGATTCTAAAATAGAAAATTTCCAGTGTTGTTTTCCACTAGTAAGTCTTCCTTTAGGGGGTATAATTTTTGGCTGACGCAATTCTTTGGGCTGACGCTGTGTAAAACGCCTACACAAACAGGGTTAGCGGACACGTTCGGGTCGGAGTGGGGAATATTTTTAAGAATAGGTCAGTCGTACCAATATTAACTATTCTTAGAATAAATATAAGTATATTTATATCCAGTATAGTTTTATCCCTTTAAGAATAGAATGGGCTTGGAGGGAATTTTCTAAAATTTAGTCTAATCGATTTTTAATCTTAAAATAAGAATAAGATTATTTCATCTGAAGTCTTTTTTAACATTTAACAAGCAAGAATAAGATCTGCTTGTTTTAAAAAAGATTTTTATTTAGTTTAACGATAGTTTTAGTCTTGACAATATTAGGTCAATCATCTTATTTCAACTGTACTTAACTTTAAGTTATTCGTAGCCCAAGCAAATTATACTTGAATCAAGTGAATTTTCTTAAGAATAAAGGTATTCTTACATTTAGAAATCTTTTTTTTCCGTGTAGGACCAATAAAAAAACTCGATAACTGCTGACATCTCTGAGCTATCTAACCTTACTTTATACTTTTAATAATTTTTATTATAATTGTAAAAGTAAGTAATAAAACTGTGCCTTGAAGATAAAATGTTGTATGCCATTCGGCTAAAACATGTCTTCTTTTGCTGTACTCAATTGTTCAAACTTTGAGCTCAGCACCAAAAGACTCACTTCTCAGCCTTAGGACATAAATAACTATTAATTTTGCCATACCAGTATTCTTCTAATTAAGTTTCGTATACAAGGTAAAATATACAGGGTGAGTGTTACAAGGGGATGTTTCAAAAACAGTTTAATTTTTTTTAAATAAGTTTAGGTAATAGAGAGAGGGGGGACATATCTAAACATATTTTGACACCTACACCCTTTCCCTGTTTTGAGGGGCGGGGGTTAACTTTAGATTTGTAATAGGGATGATAAATGTGTGCAAAAAAATGTTGATTTGCAAATTTCGGATACTGACTTATTGGATTATAACTCTCTAAAAATGAAATAGTCAAAATTCTACTATTTGAATTAGTACCAGCATTTTTTACTAATAAAATAGTCGTTTTCACTTTTAAATAGTTATTTTTTACTACGTAAATAGTTAAAGTTTGACTAATTTAAGATTAGTCACCATATTTGACTATTTCTGACAGTTAAAAGTAACTAATTTCTTTAATCGTTTACGGCCAACAACAAAGTATTATTTGAATTAAATGCATATACCTCTCCATGGTTAAATGACCCATAAAACAAATAAAGATGCAAAAAGTTTAGCTCAAAACAGTAACACAAATAATATATTAAACTTTAAAATATTATGAACAATATTTATTGACAAATAAAATTTATTTTTATAAGAGCGGCTGACAGCCGACTGGTTATGAGATTAGGTTGACAAGCTTCTCAAGTGACAGACGTGAGTTCAATCCCAGGCTGGGTCAAAACTTTTTTTAAATTTAAATTTACTAATTTAACTATTTCATTCAGTGGAATTTGACTAATTATTAGTGACTGCTTTTTCGCTAGGACAATTATTCAAATATGACTTATAATTAGTTATTTTTGACTTATTCATTTTAAGAGAGAAGATACTAAAAAATATTAACAATTAAATTTCAATTAATTTATCGTCTGACTGAGAAATTTTTCAAAATGTACCTCATTTTCTAAATGAATTTCGTACACTTCATAAATGAATTAAAATTATTTTATCTATTTTGCGTTCATAATGACTTCATTATTACACCGTTTTCGGTGCTGTAATGAGATACTTGATGCCATCCAAAATTTTGATTTTATAGGTTGGCTATACTTTAAACAGCATAATATTTTTCATATTGGTTATAATATGTTTATGATTTTTCTAGTACTTACGAGACTTTTCTGGCAATAAACATCAAAGATAAATCCTTTTTTTCTTCTTTAAAATTAACAGCCGCTTATTGTAAATAAGTAAATTAAGGACGGCATGGCGAATCAATTTTGACATTAACTGTCAAACCAATAACTGCGATACCAACTATCTAAAGTAAAATTCGACCAAATTAAATTTAAGGTATAAAATTAATTTTTTTAAAAGAATTTTTGCAAAATAGATAAAATAGCATAAAGAACTCATGTCATAAGACCTTTAGTCCGCGTGCGACAAAATGGCGTCTTATGACATTAATTCTTTAATATACTAATTTAGTATTTTATAATTTAATAAATCATAATTCCGTAAGCGAAAGGGGGCATCCATTAATTACGTGAGGCAATTTTGGCGATTTTTCGACCCACCCCCCTTTGGTAAGATGTGAGATTTTGCTCGACCCCCTCCCCCTCCCTTAATCTCACGTGAGATTTTTTAAAATGCATAGTTTTAATAATAATAAAAGAAAAAAAAAATATTTGGAAAAATTTTATTTTATATTTTTTTACAATCGAATTACCACCATTATTAATTACACAGAGTCGTGCACTTTTATGTTTTTATGTTCCAAACAGTTTTTATATTTGATTATTTAATGAATATTTATTCATATTTAATAAATAAATGAGTTGTTTCCAAATAAATGAATTTATTAATAGTCAATAAATTTTTCTATCAGTGCATAATTAATTAGCAATAAATTTTAATATTATGCATAATTTAATCCTATTTTAGTGGATAAACATTTTTTATTTAATTTAACTCAGTTTTCTTGCAATTTTACACTGTTTCTTTCGGAGAATAAATTACGTGATATTTGCCGAGACCACCCTCCCCCCCACGTGAGATTGGGTGAAGTTTGGCTCGACCCCCTCCCCCCTAAACACCTCACGTACTTAATGGATGCCCCAAAAGCACAAAACATATTTTTTGCAAACATACCTAGCTTTTTACATAGATTCAAAGTACATCATCCCTATTAAAAATCTAGTTACCCCCGCCCCTCAAAATAGAGAAAGGGGGTAGATGTCAAACATATGTTTAAATATAATGCCCCCTATATATTAGTTTACCAAAATTTCACAAAAATTTAAACCGTTTTCTAAAAATCCCCTTATGACACTTTAAAAACTCACCCGGTATATTGAGCCAATCAGATTGCAAAACATGTTTTTAATTACAGTTGGTGTTTATAATTTTTTTTTTATAAAAACATTTCATGAGTAGTTCTTTTAAATGGCTGATTAAATATAAATAAATGCTGACGCGTAGCGGAGGCCCACAATTGAGCGAAGCACAACAAAACATTTTATCTTCGAGGCACAATTTTATTTTACTTAAAACGTACAATTCTAATAATAATCATTATTATTAATTATAAAGTGGGGTCTGACAGTTATCGAATTTTTTAATTGGTCCAAATTATTTTTAAGATAATTATAATTAATCACTTTTGTGGTGATTATTAAAACAAAAAAAAAGTAATTAATAGTTTATTACCCGTTACGCGAACTAGTTCCGGATATCCCAGGCATGCGTTTTTTAATATTTGGCGTTTAAAATGTAAAAGGTGCATGAAAAAATTTAAAATTCGCATGCCTAATAGGGTGGTGGGTAATTTTGTATATAAACAACAAGTTTATTAAATAGTTGTGTTTATTTCTTAAAAAATAACATAGGTAATCATATTTTCATTTATTTAAAAATCTTAATAATAAATATGTATTTCTTAAAACCCTCTGTGGTTAAATTTTTACCCCTAAAAATTAAAAAAAAAAGATTTTATTTTCCATATACTCGATATCTTATTTTTTAAACACCTACAACGATAGACTTTAGACCATATATTTCCAAAATCTAAATAAAATAATTATGTTTGACATTTAACGTGTATAATGCATATAAATTTATCAATGACCTTTGATTAGTTATCTTGTTTATTGCTCTGTTGAAATGTCGGTGCATTTTTTTCATTTATTATAATTATACATGTTTACAACAAAAGAATGTGTCAACGAATTTTTTATTTGTGACAAGACAAAAGCTTGTGATTAATAGTATCAATAATGTTAATAAAAAAATAATTGACTTAATATGAAATTAATTCGAATTTTTTTGAGATTTTTGTGTTTACGGCTTATTTGCAGAAAATATTAGCGAAATGTTATATTTTTCCTTAATTTAATAAATAATTTAAGTAAAAGTT